TATTTGGGTCTGATATGAAACTCAGGAAAAAAATCTTAGAAAAGAGACACCACTTCCAGAATGTGAAATTAGAAAACAGGAACCCATTTGTACTTTTTTCTCTACTGACTACTACAACTCACGCACAGAGTGTAGGGGAGCTGGGCAATCTCTACCACTGTTTAAAGGAATCAGATCAGTTTATTAGCCTTGGCATGTTTGGGGATTTTGTTTTTAAATTCTTGCTGTTTCAGTCTTCATTTTTATTATATTTTCAGTGCACATCATCTTTGTTTTTTATCTTTATCCAATGACAGTTCTAACCAGAAATCTGAGAAGTGCCTTGTAAAAGAAGTTAGGTACTGCCCATGTTTTTTTGGGTGGGATTGAAGGTGGAAAAGCTGTGAGGAAAAAGTCTCTGAAGAGCATTCTCATACCAATCACCTTGACACTTTCTAAATGTTCTAAGCTTTTATTCAAAGTGTACGTAGTAATCTAAACAGAAATATAGATGATGTGTATGCCATGTGAGGTAAGATAACATATAGAAATATTTATTGCTGTGTGACATATAAGGCTGTGTGGTCAGTAGTGTATAACTGGGCCACATAAAACATTTGATGTTTGTGTATTTATTGATTTCATGTGGCTGTGGTGTCCATCCTCAGGAAAACTGAGGGATTTACTGTGGGCTATTGGTCCCAGGTGTTCATTAAAAATGGGTAACAGGGTGGGTTTTAGCACTGAATTTATCTAGAACTGGCAAGCACATTCTGATTGTCTTTTATGGGGCAATGACTGTACCTTGCCAGTAGTGGAAACCCTAGATATGATGGCATTTGACTCTGTACTTGTGCCTTTCATAGGGCTGTAAATGGCTGCAGTCCTGCTACCTCTTCGAGAGTCACTGCTGCTCAGTATCTGTCATATTGGAGCTAAAGATAATGAGATCATTTAAACAGGGTGAAGTGCCTTGTTCTTTAATCGTGTTCTGCAAACACATGTAATTGGTCTTGCAAAAATTTGTTCCTGAAGAGGTCTTAAAAAGTCAAGCCTTCCCCTGCTACATTTTTGAGAGTGTTTCTTACAGGCTCTGCTATATTTGCTCCAGAATACATACTGTGCTCTTTGATACTGACAAAAGTAGCAGTAGTTCTTATTTTCAGGTGGCCCTCACGCTTTTCATTAGGAATGATCAGTGCTGCTCAAAGGTTTTGAGCCATACTGAGAAAATTGGATTTTCCTGCTCCAGAAATGAGCAGAACTGTGCCACTTTTCCATTGCTAAGGGAACAGGCAGGGGCAGGTGGGCTGCAGCAAAAGGCAAAACTTCTGCCCAGCTCCCACTGTGAGCTGAGCTGCTCTCTCACAGATCCTGTGATGGGAGCAGCAGCCTGGATTCAGGACTTCAGTATGGGTGGTGGGGTTTCAGCCTCCTTTGCTCTGCTACAGGTATTTGATTAAGTTAGATCCTGCTGGAGGAAGGATTTGTGAATTCCCGTGTTTAATTTTTGTGGTTGTATGGAAGGTTCTGCATTGCTGCTTGGACATTGCAAGGTTGCTCTCTTTTTTTGTTTATTTGTTTTTTCCTTTCTCTTGGGCCACTGAAATTCAACAGGGTGAAGAAGAGATTATCTTCTTCCCTTCAGATTTCATTAGAATCATATAGTTCCCCCACATCTGAGAAACTGCCCTTCCCTTGGTGGGCCTGGTGTGCTGCACAGCACCTGAGTGAGGGTGTCCAACATCTGGCTGCTCAAAGCTCTGAGTATCAGGTGGAGTCTCCAGATGCAGGCAGAAATTGCTTCCAGTGAGATCAGCAGCTGCAGTAGGGAAAGTATTGAGCCATGGATCTCCCCTGTTCTTTTCATCAGAAAAGAAATTGCCCAGGATACTGAGGCAGGAAATTCTGAGAGTGTTGAGAGGTAAAGGGTGCAGAGCTAGCTTCAACTTCAGAGCTTGTAGAGTTTGATTTAGGCAAGAGCTAGATTTTCCATGAAGTGTTACCAGAACTCAAAGCTGGAAAATGTGAAGGCCCTTAGGACTCTGAATGAAGACACACAGTTCATCATCCTCTTGGTACTTGGGGAATCTGATACATAGAAGTCTGGTCTGAATCCCTCTACTCAGCTTGGGTCTGGCAGGACTGATACTGAGCTGGAGCACTTAGGTCCAGCTCATACCAGAGCCAGTCTTCTGCTCAGTATCCATGGACTGTTTTTCCATTATTTGCTGTATTCTAGGTAGTAGACACTGACTCTTCTATGTAAAAAGATAAATTACATTTATAATATACAAGCATAAGTATATATAAAAATCTAAAATATGTGTCACACAGATTATGTATATATATACAATGTTTTTTTTTCTGTAAAATTAACTACTCAAAATCTAGGTAGTACAGGGATGTATTCTGCAAGGGCAACTTTATTTTTGCTAAGGAGACATAATGAGAGCTTTGCAGAAACACTTTCTAACACATTTCAGTCTCGTAAAGTTATTGGTTATTGGGTGAATCTGAATTCTAAGGTGAATAAGGCTATTGACTGTAGGATCTCATTTTAGGTGGTGAAGGTTGGTAGTGAATTGAGTAAATGCAACAGGAAAAGCAATGCAGAAAATTGCTTCTATCAGTTCCACCTAATAGTTCCTAGATGGTCCTCTGCAAATAAATTAAATTAGGCTTTTCACATCTTTTCTGTCAGCTCATCAGTTCTTTCTGTTCTTCAGTACAAAACATCAGGGTTTCCACTGCTCCATTTCCCAGGTGCTGAGTACTCATAGCACACAGACACTCAGATATTTAGTTGCCCAGCTTTTCTAGCATTCCTAAACCTTTTAAGCACTTGAATTTTTCAGGGGAACTGACTATAAGTCTGCAACCAGTGTGTATGTGTTTCCTTATATGTTTCTCAACAATTGAAGTGATGTCACAAAACTCAGGGAAGTGATCATGTGTTTTAATTCTGGCTCGTCTGTTTCTTCACTGGGCATTTCTCAAGCACCTGCTTTGAATTTCTCAGTTTTACCAGAGGGCAAGCCAGTGGAGAGTGAGAGGAAGTTCAGGGCCTTCAGAAATCAAGTAATGCAGTGAAGGGGGTACCTGATTCCATTTCCACGGAAGGATTTTTTTAATGCTGTATAGCAAATACAATAGGACACATGCATCTGAACAATAAAGATAAGACAGCAATTCAGTGTTTCTTTTTATCTGTTGAATGCCATCCATCTTATGTAATTAAAGATTGTGCTATCTTGTGTTTAAATGCAGGAGGACAGATTTCAAGATGCTTGTGTGTATTTTGGTACTTTATTAATGGCAGCTTAGCTCTTGCAAGTGTTCCAAAGATATCACTGTGCTAAACACTTATCCACGGAGTGAGAAATGGATTGTGTCTCTTCAGATGGTAAATGAAGGCAGGATAAATGGTAAAACTGAGGGGAATTCTCTGCAATTATTGATGACAGCCCTGGACTGTGGATTAAATTACATTCTCTTAGTAAGCAAAGAGGCATAACAAAGTTTAGAATTTCAGCTATATCTTATGACATAGTTGGACACATTTTTGATACTAGTCTGGTGATGTAAGAGTTGCTGATGTGATTTGAGACATTGGCCTTTTATCCTTTTCGACTCTGGAGGAGCCCACTGTCCCTGCAGCAGGAGCACACAGGGGACCTGTTCAGTGCACAGTGGGGACAGACAGGGAAACAGGCTGTTCCCCTCAAACAGATGAGGCAGAGGCACCAGCACTGCTCTGCTGGCAGGCAGGGAGGATGGGTGGGAGGGATGAAGAAGGTGGCTTAAGGAGGGTGTCATCTTCAGCAGCTGCAGGTGTCAACTGCGTCTTTTGTCTGTCCACAGTTCAGTCTTACTCCAGCAATTTGACTCAAAGCAATACTACTAAGAAAATATGAAGGAGAAATTCGGGTTTAAGTTAAGAAGGTACCATCTTGCTTCTCTTAGGTCTGATTTGAGTGCTGAAAAGTCATGAGTGGTTTTGCTCTCAGTCCTAGTTGTTTTTGTGAGAAAACCTGTGTAAGAGGATTTTGGAAATAGGCCCAGTGTTTCCTTCTCTCTTTTCTTTTCTGTGGCAAATATGTAAATTTGAAACCTGATGGAACTCTTAGTTTCATGTCTGAAGAAAGGTTTATGAATGTGAGGGTGGAAAAAAAAGAATGGCAGGCATTTCAATTTTGTAAAAAGATTTGGCAAGGATCCTTTCACAAGGAGGTGCAAAGTAAAGAATTCCTTCATAGCAACATGATCTGTTGTGCTGTCCAAGTTGATTATGAAGCAGAACTGTGATAGTATTGCCTGGAACTTAATTGTGATTTTTTTTGTCTCTTCAACTGGTTTAATTGGTATAATGATGTGAATGCTGCAAGGGAGAGATACACATTCTCTATTATCTAATACATATTTTTATGTAACAGTACTTATGTGTGCATGCGGTACTTGAAGTGGACTTCATGTCCTGAAATTTGGAATTAATTTACTGGCCCTTTGGTTGTGTCTCATTTACTGCTATTCAGAGAGTTCTGTGTGTATTGACCAAAGGTAAATGTACTCTTGAAAGGGAGAGTGTTGCATCGTTATTCCAAGCAGGAGATACAAAATACCTCTTCAGGGAGAAGGAGGGTGTGATGTTGAAGGGAGAATTTGATGTCCATCCAGTTCTTACACATGGAGATTGCAAACAGAGAAAATAGTATTATATTCCTCATTTTTTTAGTGTGGAAGTATTCCTGGCATGTTTCTTGGAAGGAAGGAAAATTCAGGGGAGGATAATTTTTGAACTCTGAAAACTCTGAGGGGAACAAGATGTGCAATAAATTGCTAGAATGTGAAATACACATTTTTTCAAATGTAAAATTTTAAGGTCATTCAAATGTCTCTTTCCATTTGGGCCTGTATTGTTTGCAAATAGATTTTTTTTTCTTCTTTTTTTTTTTTGCTTGAAGAATGTTGCCAGTTTTAAAAATTTAATTATTGTTGTTGTTTTTGTTTTTAAACTGTAGGTATGAGAAGGTGCCAGTAATTCTCGTTGGTAATAAAGTGGACCTGGAAAGTGAGAGAGAAGTATCATTGAGTGAAGGCAGAGCCTTAGCTGAAGAATGGGGCTGCCCATTTATGGAGACCTCTGCTAAGAGTAAAACAATGGTGGATGAGCTCTTTGCGGAAATTGTTAGACAAATGAACTATGCAGCACAGCCAGACAAAGATGATCCATGCTGTTCTGCATGTAATATACAATAGCATTAAAAATGACCTAACCTGGACTTAATTTGCAGAAATTTTGTAAGGTGGTAAAACTGTCTACTTCACTTCCTGGCTTGTGGGTCACTTGAAATACATCTGTAGTGAAGTAGCAACATTAACTCAGAGCTGAGCATTGAAAGTCAATCACTGACTCTGAATATAATTGGGTTAAATGACCACATCTCACCCGTTGTTCCCTTTGAGCACCTGCAATTTTATGGCACAGTCAGTTGATCTACAGGGTCGTTCCAGTCGAACGTACGTGTGTTGTCACATCAGACAGCAACAACAGCAACTATTTCCGAAGAGGACAGAATCCTTTTGGAAACGGAGACGAAAGCAGTGGAGAGGATGTCTCTGAAGACCTTTCATGACAAGGATGAGCATGAAAAGGAGAGCCAAGTCTTTTGGTGTCTGATTACCACGCTTCAGAATGGACACTATCACATGTGGCTGAGTTTGTTCAGTCAGTTATGTTGATTTCACCAGAACTTCTGACAGTGTTGGAGGAAAAGGCTACCAGAGACCCATATAGTTTGGATTCTTTTCAAAATCAGTGCTATTATTTCTACACTTTATCCCACATCTTGAAATAGAAAACATTGTATCAGTGTGTGAAATGAGAGGCAACATCTGGAAACAAGTGACGGGTGAAGAAACAGTCTGGCATTGGAATGTTTTAAATCTTTCATTTTGCTGCTCAAAAATGGAGGATCGCTTCAGGTTTTGGTCTACAAAAAGCCAAACAAACCCTCTGTTTACAAAGCAGGAAGCATCTTTATTTTCACTTTACTGAACCAGGAGGAAGCAACTGTGATGAAAAAAAAATTGCTGAGCCTTACTAACAAGGAACACTTTAATAGATTAACTAGTACCATCTTGTAAGGAAAATTAAGCCATGTTTCATCCATATGTTCCCTTCTGCAGAAACCTCGTGGGACAGTATAAACATCCTGCATTTTTAAGTTTGTTAAAGACAACAGTTTTTCTTGCCTTTAAGGGCTACATTCTCTGGTGTGATCCCAAACTAACATTTGAAAATCCAGTTTGCTATTTGATAGCTTTAATGTTGAAAACTTAAATTGAATAACCACGTGAAATCATTTGGTTCAGAGGTGAAATAGTTACAGTTGTAATTCCTTAGGTGAGTGTGGAAATGGCTCTTTAAATGCCTGACACACTATTCAAAGGTTGCCCCAATTATTGGAGTGTTTAATGGTGGGAGCAAATATTTTATTTGGAAAGGATGCTCGAGCTCTGACTTGCTAGTTTCATAGCAGTGAAGTATTTATCATTTGCATGACTAATGGCACAGAAATACCTATTTCAAAGTCTTACAATCAAAGTATAGAAAAGTTTTCAATCGCAATGTTTAGATTTTAAATGCTGGAGAGATTGTCTTGAGCTGGATCTTTTATAGGTAAAATTGGCCATAAAATACAGTCACTGAGCCTGTGGTCTGAATAACACCATGCGTTTATTAGTTTTTAAATCTTGTGCAGTAACAGTGTAGTTCCTTGTGTTTAAATGAGTGAAAATAGGGGTGCTGGGCTGTGTGTGTGTGTGTTGAGTGTGTATGTGTGTGTGTATATGGCCCTTAGAAATGCTGTAATTGGAGTTAGGTTCGAGAGTTTTGCCTCCATCTGCAGAACTTCCTAAAAGCGCTCTCATCTGCCACAAAGGACACTGGAGTAGAAAACACTTTGCAGATTTCCATACATAAATATCCTTAACATTTGAATTATAGTTCACTGGATGATAACTAAAGAAAATCATTTTCACGGAAGAGAACTGGCCAACTCTGCCCTTAATCTCTCAAGACCTTTCCACAACCAGTGTGACAAAGGGCATTAGATGTCACAGTGCATTAAGCCTTACAACGTAAATGTAGCCCATTTCCCACCTACTTTGCAGAGCTTTTGTTACTGTACTTTGTTCTCTTAGGGAGATAGGCACACCGTTTATTTCTGGCATCTGAATGCCCATTTTGGGTGCTCTGAATCGCCCTCCTAGAGGCACCTACCTCTTTCCATTGACTGTATAGCAAACTTAGGCTTTTAACTTTAGTCCTCCAAGTCACAGAACTCACATGCCTAAACTAGATGGTATGAATGTTCTCTTACCACTCCCTGTCTGCCCATTGTGTCAGCTGCCATGCTTAAACAAAATGTGAGATGTTGGATCAATGATATTTCAGGGTTTCAGATATCTAGATTTCAGATATCTTGGGAAATGGTTAATCAAGCAGCACAATCCATCCATAAAACAGCTGGTCAGTGTGAGATCCACTGCATAAGCACTCGAAAAAGAAAAACCACAAAAAACCAAACCAAAGCCAAATTTCAAACTGAGTTGGAAGTGCATGTTATGCAAGGTTATTTACAGAGATGTTAAAAATCTTACCTGACAGATTGTTCATCAACCGAGAAAATGGCACAAAGTAGAGGATGAACAGCCTATCGTGAAGTTCATGATATAAAGCAGATGGGCTTTAAATATAGGAAAAATTGCACAGTAAATTTGTAACAGAAATATTAAAGAAAATATCTCCCAGTTTTGTTGCTTCATTACACTCTTACATTTTCAAAAGCATAGGCCATATGTAAGCTACCATGCAACTTGGCTGGGGGAGCAAAGTGTAAGTGTTGTTTTTTATTGTATAGTTCTGAGGAAGTAGTTATGCACTATTTGTATTTCCACTAATGTGAAGATAGTGGAGCTTGAATCAATGACAGTTGCACTCAACAGATTTTTCAAGTTATAAGGGTAGCAGGAGGGGAGGTAGGTGAGCCACACAGAGGCTGCATGGCCACCCTGCAGGAATCACTGGTCTTGGGTCACTGTTTCATTTGTACCCTGATAGGATTACCAATTATAGTATTTGAAAGTTTCTTATAACATGCCTTAAAATATTATGATTTGTTCCAAAGACCCACTTTTCCTTTGGCTGTTCTTGTAGAGCTTTGTACTTTTCTACAAAGACAGCATTTTTTCCAGTTTTGTTGGTTTTTTAAAAAAAAAAAAAAAGTTGCAACTTTTATTCTTTTAAGCTATGATAGAGCAACTGTTTCCTCTTTCCCTTAAAAATACACACAAAAATTATTCAAAGCAAACAAACCAGAATCAGATCAAGAGTATATAACTTGCATTGGATTTTGTTTGAGTTTTTTCTGTTGTGCCCATCCCCCTGTCCACCTCTTCAGAGCATCAAGAAAAGAAATTTGGTGACATTTTCTGTTCTGATTCTAGCCTCTCCCTAACCCCAGTGCTACAGTTGCCATTACTTTTCTGTGGGAAAACTACTGGTATTTGCTTTCCTGTATAGAATGTTACCTAAAGATGTCAGCCATTTGGTTGGGGGGTTTTGTGCATGTTTGTTTTTAATTTTTTTATTTTTTTTTACCAGTGTGCCATCAAAGCACTGGTTAGGCTTTAATTGTGAAACTCCGCAACAAAAGCAAATGTTTGACAACTGCAGGAGGCTTTTATCTGCATTGTTGTGCATCTGTTAATTCTTGATCAGGGTTTGAAGAAAGACTGAAGTGGGTTCTGGAGTCAGACTTAACGCTGTTGATTTGGAGTTTCCTTGGGTGAATTAATGTATTTCACAGTTAATTGTTGAGCTCTAATACAACTGGCAACTTAAAATGGGGCAACAGTTTGTTTTGTAACAATGTCAGTTGTTTAAACCTTGATGTTTCAAATAAAACAAGAATTGTACATAGAACTCAATGCAAACTCAGCAGTTGTATTTGGAGTTAAATTATTTTAACAAATAAATTTATTTAATGAAATCTTCCTTGCATTTTCTCTGCTGTGCATTTTGATTTGATTAAAAACTTCGTCCAAAGCTGATGACGGGGCCCATCAGCTATTGGAATACAATGTTGTTGTAATTGGAAACAACATTGTCAACTATATTCAGATCAGGAAAGTATTTCCTGCTAAAATGGTCTTCTGGTACAAATTAGGTAGCAATAAGTAAAAATTAAATCAAATTTATTTTGGATGGATGGATGTTTTGATCTAAGTTATGAACTTGATAAAAAACAATAGCAATGGAGGGCAGTTTTCACTTTTTTTAGTGGGATACACACTGACGACAATCAGTAATACTCAGTATTTGATAGGATCCAGCTCTTGCTATGGCAATATATATAAATATGTATATATTTACATATATATATGTAAATATATAATAAAATGTTCCATATATAAAAAATGACCACGTAAAAACTTGCTCAACATATGATATAGTTAATATATATCTATATATATTAGTAGAACTATATATATATTAGTATATATATATCTATATATATTAGTAGCAGAACTACTTTTATAGCACTGAGACTACAAAGGGTTAAAGGAGGATTGTTTGTTATATCAGCTGTTCGATTGATGAGTGTTTTGAAGGCTTTCATCACCACACAAAAGGAGTTAGTGTTAAAAGAACTTCAAATACAATTAGTGTTGCAGAGATTTATAAATGAACAGTTGAGCTAATGCTAACAGGATTATTCTAGCTAATTGGCACTGATCAGCAGTTACATTTTAGTCATGCCAGTATCACTAAAAAACCCTATTTTCAGTAATGATGGGTGCTTGGTAGTCTCTTGTTTTCATGTCATGCATGCCTTAAGGAGCAAGAAGCCTGAGGCTGGCACATCTTAAATGCTTTTAGTTCTATGGATCATATGGAAGGCTGACACATGCTGCTAATTGCGTGTTTTTGATTTGCCCATTCATTCTGTAAATCAGTTCCAAGGGAACTTTTGCTGATGGGTTCTTCCTGTCCCATTAGCTTAGTAATATCCTTTTGCTTTGCCCAAGAAGATACCTATAGAGAGACAACATGAATTCATTGGGCTGTTCTGAACAGTTAAAAAAATGCCAGTGTGTGACATGCTCTTTTCAAATAACTGAACAGCTAGAAAACGTTGAACTTTTCACTCCTAGCAAATGTTTTCTCTGTCTCTCTGCACCCTTCTCCCCTTTTTCTTTTTTTTTTTTTTTTTCTAGCTACTGCAGGAAGATTTTTACTCTGTAAAATATTTTGGTTGGACATAATATCTTGTTATCAGTCTTCCACAGGTATCAGTCTAACTGGTTCACCAACCTTTGGTCAATATTTTTGTTGCTTGACCATGGAATCACTGGACTCCCTCTCCTATCAAAGTTGCCTCCAGTAGTATTGTGTTCTTGCTGGTTACCTTGTGCTTTATTCTCCATCAAATGACATCTGTTTTTCTGAGTGCAGGAAGAATTATTTTGAAATTGATGGAAACTGTGCTTGTTGCGCTGTCTTGCCCATAGCAGTGTAGTCATCTCTTCCTTTGGCAGGCACCATCTTGGTCATTCTCATTTAAGAAAGAAATTTCCAGCTTCCAATGACTGTTTGAATGCACTAGTGTCCTACTCAGTTGTCTTGAACATAATTCCTGTTTTGCCATAAAACCTGTACAAAGAACTTTCCTTGTGGTATTTTTTTGCTAATTGCAGTAAGACATTCAGAACTGCAGATTTCTTCATAGGGAGGCCAATTAATATGTCTGGATTTTGACTCCAGTTGTTTAGGGTTTCAGTTGTCTGATGGCCAACACATTTTTCTTCTCACATTGGAAATAAAAAGTAATGAGTTAAGAGTCATAGGCTCATAGAATGATTCAGATAGAAAGGGATGTTTAAAGTTCATCTAGCTCCAATCCCTGTGCCGTGGGCAGGGATGCCTTCCACTAGACCAGATTGCTCAAAGCCTGGCCTTGAACACTTCCAGAGATAGGACATCCTGTGCAGCCTGTTCCAGTGCCTCACCACTCTCACAGTGAAAAAATTCCTTCCTTGCAATCTAAACCTGCCCTCTTTCAGTTTGAAGCCATTCCCCCTTGTCCTGTCACTACAGGCTCTTGTCAAAGGTCCCTCTCCAGCTCTCTTGCAAGCCCCTTTTAGGTACTGGAAGACAGCCAGATGGCTCCCTGGAGCCTTCTTTTCTCCAGGCTGTGGGTTGCATTTACAGGGTGGCTTGCAAGTGGGTGGAAGAAACGCTGTGTTGATGTGAGCCAGGCACTGTGCGATACTGGAACTGCTAACGGCACATCTTCATTCCACTCTGCTGGAACAGTTTTTCTGTGTACTTTCAAGCACATGCTTTGTGGTCTGACTGGAATATGAAATAGTCTGTGGGGCACTGAGAATTTATTTCAAGTTCTTCACGGTGCAGTGACCACGTAGGTAGACAACCAGACAGCCGCGTAGGAGTCTCACTGAAGAATCGAACAGTGAGAGGGTTAGCTGGCAGAAGTGGAGGAGCGTGGGGGTAGATCTGGGTTAAAGAGGTAAGTTTATAAACCTGAAAGACTGCTGAAGAAAAATAGGTAGGTAGACTGAGTGTTATGTTGAGTGGTAGAAATAAGAGTATTAAGATTAAGGACATTCTTGCACAGACGTGCTTATTAGGTAGATCAGAGAACTGGATCTGAAGTGTAGTCTTCTTCAGGACATTTCACTGAAATAAGTATAAAGCTGCTTCTTGAGATGTTCTATGGAAAGATTCTGAATTTTTCTTGCTTTACAATCCTTGTACAATTTAATAACCAAAAGACATTAACTTAAAACGTCATCCCCAAATACTTGAGACATGGCACCTTAGCTTTCTAGTTGTACAACACAGCTTAGGAAAACAAAACATGCTTTCATCCTACAGCCAAGAATATACTCTGGATCACAGCTCTTTTGGTTATTACATAGGCTTCTTTTTGCTATTCACCCTTTGTTCTTGCAGATGGAATAATTAAACTGAATAGAGGTTGCCCGGCACTTTCCAGTGTGACACAAGGTGATCTTTTTTTTTTTTTTTTTTTTTGCTGCTTTCCAAACTAATTAGGAGAGCTCCAGTTTTTTCAGGATGATCTCTCTGTCCCAGATTTGGGGGTTGTTGTTTGTTCTCTATTTTTTTAATGGTTCAGCTGTTTCTAAGGATAAAACAATGGAAGATGCACCATTCTGAATGTGCTAAATTCTTGAAAATATTCTCTCAAAACCTGGCACCATTCTGGTTTGAATGACTGGGAAATAGCCCAAAACACCACAATATTGGTACATGGGTCTAAACTTAGCCAAATTATAAGCCTCTGAAAAAATGGTTTGCCTAATATAAGGAGGGATAAATGTCTGCATCCAGACTCTTCAGCTGGATTGGATATGCTTTTTGCTCTTTGTATTTCATATATAGTAACTGCTGGGTGCAAGGCACAGCCCTTGTCTGTACACACTGGCTTAGAGCTGAGAAATAGAGTGGGAAAGAGTAGGATGAGACTTCAGCAGGG